AGGAAGTTTCTCCTTAGTTCTAGGTTGCTTCTCTCTTTGGTTAGCTTCCACCCGTTGCTCCTTGTCCTGCCTTCAGGTGCTTTGGAAAATAGCTTGACTCCCTCTTCTTTGTGGCAGCCCCTGAGATATTGGAACACTGCTATCATGTCCCCCCTCGTCCTTCTCTTCATTAAACTAGACATACCCAATTCCAGCAACCGTTCCTTATATGTTTTAGCCTCCAGTCCCCTAATCATCTTTGTTGCTCTTCTCTGTACTCTTTCAGTCTCAACATCTTTTTTACATCGTGGTGACCAAAACTGGATGCAGTATTCCAAGTGTGGCCACTCATTTTATGGAGTGGTGTTGATAGTCTTAAGTTCTTAGATTCTTATCTTATTCAAAAAGTAGAAAACATATGTAGTTCAAGGTTGAACTGATGAATTCTTGCTGTTCTCTGAGCTTATAGGCAGTCCTTGGTTATTAACAGTAATTAGGGCTGGAATTTCCATTCCTAAAAAATGCAGTTGTAAAATGCAAGATCATGTCACTGCACCATTTAACAACAGCTTTTCTGGCAGTCCCCAGTTACTGTCATTAAGCTAAGACCGTGCAGGTTGTTAAGTGAGGACCTCAGAGGATTATAACTTCTGATTTCCTGCCAGCTTCCCCATTGAATTTACTTGTGGGAACCCAAGACTACAAATCATGTCAACATGACTGTGAGACACTGGCGACAATTGGCAAGCTGGCCAGTTGTTAAGCATTCAGATCATGATCCTGTGACCATGGGGAATTGTGTCATATGGAATTCTGAGGTTCAGTTTATTTTATTTATTTATTTATTTTAGAAAATTTATATAGCCGTCTACTTGCTCGCATAACTAGGCAGCTTACAGTAATAACACAAAATAGAAAAATAAAAGTAAAAAAAAAAACCCAACAAGTACAATTAACCGAGTTGTAAGTACACCTCGGATGTACTTACAACTTGGTTGTACAACTCAGTCATTGCTCTCAGAAGTCAGAACGGTCGTTAAATGGAGACTACCTATCTTTTATTGTATTTTTTAAAAACTGTAAACTGCTTAGAATAATAAGGAGAGAGGATAAAACAAGCCATGACTTCACACGTGTGAACTCAGTTAAGAGTACTGCATGTTAGCATCTGCTCCCAGCTAACCAAAAGCTAGGAACATACTACTTTATTCTAATGAAATTTAAATGAACAAATTTCATTTGAGAAACTAGATTGTTCTAATTATTTCTGTACCTTGTAAGGTAATTGCAATCAATCAATGCCATTCTGCTTACCTTTGGCGATCTCTGCTCCAGCTAGTCTTGCTCGTATTAAGCCATGCCTTTCTTTCAGATGAAGGATACGGACCTTTGGAAACTGTGCCATGTATTTGTCTAATTTGTCCTTCAGGTAAGCTAAATTAGAACAGAGGAGAATCAAGTGTGTGGACTACAGATTGTACCTATTTCAAACTTAACTAATAAAATGGGTCATCAGTCCTCAAACACTGCTTCCAATTTATAGAGGATTATTGAAAAATACCAAAAAATTGTTTTCTACCGACAGTTATTATAGAGGGTAGAAACTGTATATTACTTTTACATATTAATCAATTGATTATACGTCACCCTTACTAGGTAGAATTGATCCAGTAAAATGGTCACAAAGATCAAAATTTGATATTTTTCATATCAACTGGTCTATCCAGAAATAAACAATATTCTTGCAATCTGAAAAAAAAGTAAACCTTCTACCTGGCAAGCAGCTTAAAAGTGTCATTGCTGACCATTTTAAATAATAAAAACCAAAGATCCTCTAATGAAACAAGTACTTGGTTAAAAGCTATCTCCAGATTTGCAGTATTCTTTATGTCCCATAAAAAGGAAGGAGTAGCATAGCACTTTTGAGTTGAAGAGGCCTATGAGGCTGCAGAGAATTACTTTTCCTAAAGAGAAAAAACTGAGTTGCCAACATTTGAAGCAGTCATGAAGATGTACCTATCACCAATCAGCTGCTTCTGCCTTACAAAATGGCCCATTGTCATTTTCTGGGAAATTATTGTTAAAGGAAAAGAGAATTATCTCCACTATCTACAATTGACCAAGTACTACCAAATCTTTCTTCCTCCTATAAGGATTTCACAGGTTAAAAATGTTTTTGTCATTACATATTTATGCAACTTCCCTCTCTCTATAGGCCAAAAGCAAATTCTTTCTATCAGGCTTCAGCGGCATACTTAGCTGATCTCTCAAATCTTGCACACAAGCATCCAATGACCCCAAAATATTCTGCATGCTTTTAAGTCAAATGTAATATATGATACATTTGTCTCTAAATTGTAAGGGGAGAAAAAAATATGATATAATGTAGGAGAAGAGATGGCAGAATTTGGAGGCAGAGTGAAAAGAGGGATCAGACTAGAATCCCTACGTAGCCACAAGAGAACGAAGTCCAACCCCTTCCTAGAGTGCTGTTGGCAGGTGCCAACTGTTAGTTGAGAGATTCCTATGCATAGCGATGAGTAACAATAAATCAGTTTAACTGGACCTTCACTTGTAGACCTGATCTTTTGTGCCTGACATACAGGGATCCACTGAAGCAAAATAAGGCCAGTTTGATATTTCAGGGAAATGTATGGGATGTATTAGAGAACCTCAGTAACCTCTATCATGATGAAAAATATATATATTTTTTTCAAACAGTAAATTATTAAATGACATGTTGATCCTGAGATATCGACTTACCTCTTGTGCTAAAATCATCCACCAAAATAACTTCTTTAATCAATTCAAGGGGGGACCGGTTGAGGATACTGTGGACAGAACGCAGGAGAGTGGACCACACTTCATCAACAAAGCACATGATAATGCTAGTGGTGGGAAGGTCATTGTGGACAAGAAGATCTGAACATCTGGAGCAAAAGAGATTAGCATAGCATAATATAACATAAACAGTTGATACAAGCTTACTGGTAGAAGTGAACATTAACCGCTCCAATTGCCCTAAAAACGTATTTTACTGATGTTTTCTTCCTGAAGGCAAGAGAGTTGAGCTCTAAAAAATAAATTCTACTACAATTAGGGCTTTTTTTTGTCATAGAACGCCCAGAACAGAGTTCTGGCATTTTTTTTGGATGGAACCTTGTAGGGTAGGCAAGGCATGACATGTGTGACTTCCGGCACCTTTTTTTTTTTTTTTTTTTTACAAAAAAAGCACTGACTAAAATAATACCTATCAAAATGCAAAGACTCAGCAATTAAACATTGTGGGAAAGAAATTTGAGTGTAAAGTAAGGAAAACTATCACTTGAGTACCTGATTCCAATACAGCTAACACCATCAGCAATCAGCATTGCTAGGCATCTGCTTAATGGAAATTGAGAAATAGCAATGGCATAATCCTATAATACATCTTAATGTAGTGGGGAGCATTGTGAATTGTTAGGCCTGCTCAGTTTGCTGTCCATGTACTCACTAGTTAGGGAATTTGAAGGTTCTTACTCTTTTTTCTGATAATTTTTTGATCTCAACATTAAAGTTAGATTGCTCAAACTTCAAACAGAAACTGTTACATCTATGATCAGATGGAGACAGGTGCGTATCTGTCACATCCTCTTTTGCACAGCCAAGCAGATCAGACCAGGTGAAGAGAGTAAGTAAATGAGCATCAGGGGAGGAAGAGGATCTGTTCAAGGGTAAAGGCCCCGCTTAGAATTCTAAGCTGAAGGCTCTGCCACTGATTCCATGGGTTGACCTTGACTGCAATTGCCCAAATATTATTGTAACCAAACGGTGACTGAGTTTCTAACAAAAATATCACAGTGAAAAATCCTGCTATTTACAAAAACTTTCCTGCTAATGGGCTGGTTTTCACTGAAATTCACAGATTTTATCCCCCAAACTGAGCCATAAGTGGAATCATCTCAATAAGACATGGTCCTTGGCCTTTAGGACTGGCAAGTTTTGTGCCTACAGTGTGGCTTTGTGCTAGATACAAATCATAAATTACTGTTGCGTTTTCATGCAACACAAGATACAATTTACATTATATCAGAAACAACAGAAGCCGCTGATGCATAATTCTTTATACATTCTAAATTTTTAAAAAACAAGCTTTTTCTGTCCCTTTTTGTAAGAGCATTTTTCAAGTCCTAATTCAGACACTCACAGTATCTCATTCCTGAGCAAAAATTTCAGATTCTCGTTAATTTCTGGATGGGTCCAGACAGATTTGCCTGGCTCTTTTCAGCTGTCAAAAGAATACTAAAACTAGAGGGATTAGGAGAAGGGGAAAGCTTAGTGTACCAAAGAGCAGATGTAGAACTTTTAAAGTTCAACTTAAAATCCAGATTTGTGGCCTGGTTTGAGATACTGTTGTTCAGTCACTAAGTCATATCCGATTCTTTGTGACCCCATAGATCCTAACACCCCAGCTCCCCCCCACCCTCCACTGTCTCCCTGAGTCTGCCCAAACTCATGTCCCCTGCATCAATGACACTATTTAACCATCTCATCCTCTACCATCCTCTTCTCCTTTTGCCTTCAATCTTTCCCAACATCTTTTCCAATAGGTCCTCTCTTCTCATTTGGTGGCCAAATGAGCTTCGAGATACATATTGCCAGCTACTAAATAGGCTTTTCAGGCACATCCACATTCTATTATCTTAAAATAGTTCTTTCCCTTCCTTCCATACCCACTTCTGAGATTGAATAGAAGACTTTTTTCAAGAAAGTCATGGAGCTTATTTCCATTAGATAGAGTGCTGAAAAAAATAAGACAAAGAATTCTGCAAATGCCCTGAAGTTACTACCCAAAGAAAACAACACAGGAACTAATTCTGTAATAAGGTAAAAAAAAAAAAAAAAAAAAAAAAAAAAAAGGAAAGATCCTTGCCAAGAATTTGTGATTGGGGACATATTTTCCAGTTTCTTCCAAAGGTTAACCAAGAAATGGGAAGACTGAAAAGTAGAAACTATAATGAGGCATCATGTTTTCTAAGCATTCTTGCAAGTTATTATTTACTTTATATTATTATTATTATTATTATTATTATTATTATTATTATTATTATTATTATTATTTATTTATTTATTTATTTTTTATTTATTTATTTAATAATAACATTATTACTGGCATCCTCAGATAGCTGCAAAGCCTTGGAATAGCATTCTTCCATATTCCATCCTACATAAAATGTAACATTTTTCTGATCTGGCATTCTGTGAAGAAACATGTGGCTGGAGATAAATATTCTTATACATTTGTCACAATATTCCAAGCTGGACAAGGTCACCCAAAGCACTCGAGTAAATTAAAAGGAACTAGATTCAGCCATTCAATGCTGTTCAGACCATGAATATCATAGTGAAGGTCTACTGGCAGAGACGGGACCCCATAAAGGACCTCCAACTTAAGGACTTTCTTGAACAAGAGTTAAATTCAACAACAAAGACTCTATGTTAAGTTAAATTGAGAAATAACCCATAAGTTGTACTAACTGTTGATAGATTTTCTGTTTGTATTAATACAGTCTTGTCGCTGGCAAAGAATAGTCCCTAGTGGATGATAAAAATAAAAGATCCAGACTGCAGCTTGGATTTATATTAGCCAGTTTCTGGTTTAAAATAGCACCCGCCTCCTGTGATCAAACAGGGTGGCCAAAATAGTCTTCAAATCCCAAGGCACCTACATTATTTTTCCAGAGGAAAATCTTTGTTTAAAAAAAAAACAAAAAACAAGAAGGGTTGGCAATCACAATGAGTTATAAGGAAACAGAAGTCAAGAGAAATGAAATAATTTATGTAGAGCAAACACTGTGGATTTTATTGTAAAAGGAAGCTAGATGTAAAGCAAATGTAAACTGTGGGTAAACTGGAAGCATTTAACATCAAAACTAATGTTTTCCAACTGCCCAGATATTACAGCTTCCAGAAGTCTCAGCCAACATGGCCCTGGGTCTCCTGGGTGTTGTAATCCTGATTTAACTGGAGTTATAAAAGCCCGAAAAGTAGGTAACTTGCTCAAGTATAAAATGGATAGCACACCCATGGCTTACCTAATTTTTCTTGCACTCATCTGTTCTAGATCTGCATTATTGTACAGTAAACCTTTTTCTACCAACTTGTAAGACTTTCTAGCAGTCTCCTCCACTTTGGTGCTTCTCGGTGCAATTTTGATAATTCTCTATGTGGCTGAGAAATGAGAGTTGTAATTCCAAGTACTATAACATAGACAGATTCAGGTAGACAAAGACTAACAATATAGAAATAGCTGAAGATTTGGAAAACCCTATGATACATAAGCCAGAAACATAAAACAACACATGATTTTTTTTATTGAGCCTAAATGCTAACATGCCAGCACCAAAGCCGAACCTTTCCAACGCTGCCACAACAAAGGTAAAAATATTTTTGATTTAAAAAAAGAAAGAATAATCAAAACTTGGAGATCTGAATTGGGTCTTACTTGGATTTATTCAGTAACATGCATTGCAACTCCCAAAATTGCAAGCCGGCATGGAAATCAGCTTGGAAAAGGCTGTAGTAAGAAATGCCTCTCTGGGGGAGAGGGCAGAGTGAATCACTGAATCTACCTCTAGATAGTAGTGTTCCACTACTATTAAATCCTATGGTTACTTAAGACTATAGATTGATCACTGGAAGTTCCCTAGCATAAAATTGCAATGTGAGTTTATGGAAGTTATTTTTTTTTATTCTTAACACAATTCTTATACAAGCAAACCTAGTTTAATTCCAGCTGGGAGACAGAAAAAAACCCTATTTGATTTCCAATGCACTCTAGGAAATGTGGAAATTGGAAAGATGAGATTTTAGAATGAATTAGTTTTGGTACTCAGAAGAAGATGAAAAAAAGGTAAGAGTGTCAGGAAGACAGCAAGAACCTTTTAATTATAAAGCTCTAGCGACAGTGACAAACACCTAAAACATTCTGCATCAGTAAGTATCTGAGTGTCATGTGACACAACGTTCTTACAAAGTATTAGTAAAAAGGCAATCCCATGACACTTTGCTGCCATGTATATCCCAGGTTATGTGAGCAGATCACACACACTTTTTACTAGGTCAGGGGTAGGCAACCTTGGCTCTTTTATGACTTGTGAACTTCAGCTCCCAGAATTCTTGAGCCAGCATGGCTCAGCTTAGAAACCTCTCCCTTTCCCCTCAGCATGGCTGGCTCAGGAATTCTGGGAGTTGAAGTCCACGAGTCATAAAAGAGCCAAGGTTGCCTACCCCTGTACTAGGTCAAGGTACTTTCAAGAACTTTCATTTTAATATAGTTTTAACACAATGTAAAATAACATTTCACAATTGTCCTTGAAAATGTCCTCTGGAGTCCCTACCAGATGAATGGGGGATAGAAATTTTCAAATTATTTTCCCCTAGGGAAAGGTATACATTGCCCATTCTTGCATTTTTTGTGTGCGCCAAAGACTTTATTTTAAATTTTTAAAAACATTGCTACAGCTGGTGCTCATTCCAACATATTTTACGGGTGTGAAACTTAAATTATGTTACATAGGTAGTCCTCGATTTATGACCATGCGTGTAACAATGCTTCAAAGTTATGGCTGCCTCGGAACAAATGATTTACAACCTGTCCTGGCACTTATGACCATCATATCATCCTCACAGTCACAATTTGGGTGCTTGGCAACCAGCTCACATTTATTACCAGTTGCAGCATCCTGAAATCGCATGATAATGATTTACAATTTTCCTAGCCACTTTCCAACAAATGGGGAATTGGCTTAACAATGTGATTCACTTCATTCATTCATCTGTTCATTCATTCATTCACTGAAACAATTTATTTGCTGCCCATCTAGTATCCGAAGACTCTGAAAAAAGAATAAAATTATCCATTAGAAAAACACAAATAAAAAACAACTGTGGTAAAAATAGTCAGAAAAATTGATGGTTCTCTTTGCAACTGCCCCAGTTTACTATGGAAATTCTGCTCCCAATTATGGTCATAAATCAAGGACTACCTGTATCATATCGCTTTGTTTAATGATTCTGTATTATTATCTATTTATCTCTTGTATTAATTGTGAGATACCTTGGGAGTGGAACACATTAAAGAACAAAATATAAATCTCTCAAAAAAGAAAGTCATATTGCAGTTCTTGCTATATGACTACCAGACTTATATAAAGCAAAGAGTACTACTGCACAAATGGACTAAAAGGACTGCTATTCTAAGGGGGGGGATTTCAGTGTTATTTTTGATGCTGTTAAGGATGTTACAATAAACCATGGGCAACATAGCAATATAGGTTAGATCCACCCCTGAACGCAAAATGCAGAACTAGTAACTATCAAGTCAAGGGCTGAAGAAACTTCAGAAAGAGAACTTCACAGAAGTGACAGAAATAGAAAAGACATGCAATTGAGAATTTTTTAAAAAAAAACCAATTATGCTGCCCATTTCCCTTATAAGTTAAATGGAAAGCTGATGTTTGGATGACACATATGCTTCGAAGTAATCACTAATAAATTTTATGTATCCTGCAGTCTCTAGAAATACAGTAAAACCCACTACGATCTCTGCAAATCTAGAGCCAGCCTTTTTTGAGTGCTCAGTCTGTCACAAATAAACATGCATGAGGTGGGGTGGGACTTGCCTGAAATGTACATACACGCAAAGGTGAAGGAACATAACAAGTTGCCTTATACTGAGTCAGACCATTGTTCCCAAGAATGCTTTCAACTTAGAAAATGGGTGCATTTAAAGGGCTCCAGAATGTATAATTGTTTCTTTTTTTCTGGCAATTCCATGCATTATTTTCCTCTTCAAATAGCCCAATAAAGTAAAATGCAGCAACGTCAAAGAAAACAAAATTCACTTATATCCAGACAAGGCTTTAATTTCCAGGAGTATTAGTAACATTCATGATGACGTTCAAGGGTTTTGTTTGCATATATTTAGTAGAATAAATTGATTTGTTTGGAGAGCTGGCGCCCTTTAGAAAAAGAAGAAGAAGAAACTACTTGCAAGGCTGTTTTTCTGTCATGTTGTCCAAATAAAAGCTTCTCCTCCTCCCCCCATACCACAGTCAGCGAACACTGAGGTGTTATTGACAGCCTCAAAGCAGCAACGTTTCAATGTGACCCACTAAGCCTATCAAAGAAGTACAGCAGAAAATCTGTAGATCTAGCTGGTGATAAAGATTTCTCTCATTTCATTGAATTTGTCATTTTTACATCATGCTGGCTTAGAAAAAAAAAATAGAAGAGTCAAAGGTTTTGGTCAGGTCTTCTCTGCATGAACAAAAGGCTGAAGGGAAAGCATTTTTCTCCATTTCTATTTGCAATTCAGCTAAGGGTTTGATGGATGCCTTAAGGGAATCTTTACCCCTTAGGCTAATATATCTTCCAGCAGATCTTGAGAAGGCCAGGGCAAGCTACCAAAGAACTCCTCCCACAGAGAATCCTGTTCTCCTGATCATTTTTCACCAATGTTTGATAGGGTGGTTGATCCTATCCCCCAATCTAGATGGAAAACTATTTTTTTTTTGTTCTGGGTTGTTTTGTTGGGGAAAATAGTGGACTGCATCTCAATGGGAGCATGCCTGTTTTACATGACAAGGCTCTTAATTCAATGACTGGCATCTCTTGATTAAAACACAGATCAAATAGCAGTTGATGGGAAACATTATTCTCTGCCCTTTGCCATTCTGGGCTTCATAGTCTTTTCAGGTAATCCTGTTGCATTTGAGAGCCTTCACTCTGTAAAGGTGCCCCTGAATGCTGCCCAAATATTGCCATAGTGCACCACTATCTTTGGCCAAGGGTATCAATAGGACAATGGTGCATTGTACCAATAATTTGATTTACAAAGTGAGTGCCAAGCTACAGTTTCTGCAGGCAATATACCAACATGTATCTATGACAACATCCAAGGCAGATCATTTGAAGGCTCTCCGGTGCCTTTATTAATGTGCCTGTATTTCAAGATGTTAAAGACAGCCTTTGTTGGCCTACCTGCTTTCAAGTTCAGTTAGACTGGCAGACAAAGGGGAAATGGAAAACAGCTTTTAGTCAGAAGAATTTAACTCCTCAAGAATGAAAGGCTATTTACCTTCCTCAGCTGCCATATTTCAAAGGCCTCTGAAAATTTTGCAATGGCTTTAACTGAGGTGTCAGATTTATTTACCACAATATTTCTGTATTGCCCAAACATTTTGCCACACGGGTTTAAAAAAGGGAGCATCGGTGCAAATAAAAATGGAGCCCAAGTCCAAAGATTCAGGCCAAAAACTTGATGGAAAAGGTTGGTTTCCATAGCTTTGTAAACACAAGTAAAATGAGGGCTCCCCCTCCCCCCACCTCAGAGCCCCAGTTGATCCATAATGAAGATGCTGTTTGCAAGGGAGAGCATCTCTGAGTGCCCAGCCCCTTAAACTCAAGTAGGGAGATTGATTCCACAACTCCACAGTTAGTTAAGTCATGTATGCTTTACACAGGTTAAAAGAGCACTGGGTATTTTCTGTCTTAGGTACCAGAAACCGACTGTTTAAGACACATAAATGCTGCTTTAAATATATGCAATTCCTAAATCAGTGCACTTCTCTCCATAAGCCGATTATCACGCATGGGTAATACTGTTTTGCATGGCTCTGAAAGCCTGTGTTAAAATGAAATAATGACAGTTTGCCACTGATTTGATTCTGTGGCTGAGTTCACACATCACAGGAAGCTATATTATGGCTCTGCCGGTTTTGGGGGCGGTGGTGGTGGTTTATATTGTCTGAACTGAATCATCAAGATTTGTAAACTATAGCTTTTAGCTTAGTACTACTATACAACTGTTTTCCCCACAGTAGAATAAAAACATCTAATTGAACTTTTTTTTTTACAAAATGTAAAGGTAGAATTATAACTGAAAAAAATGACATTTAAATAAAGAAAAGGATGCTAAATACAGAAGCAAGATGAGGACTCATGCCTGGGAACACTATTTAGAGAAAACTAATTTATTTATCAGATTTAAATACTGCCTAGCTCATTCATAAAGTGACTCTGGGCAGTTTACAGAAAATTATGGATTTCCTGTAACTGGATGTCTGTGACCCTTTACTGGTTTAGCACCAGGGGCACTGATGGATACTCTGAGACTGGTTTCAAACTTCCTTTTTCTTTCTGAGGTGACAGCTGCCAAAGCAAAGTTCTTCTTGCAGGAAAATTGCTCCTCTAAGGGCCAACTTTGTTCTTTAAAATAAGCAGAGAGGAAATCCTTGCGTTCCATATTCAAGGCTACACAAACAGTTTGTATGTCTGTATGTGTGGGTGTGTTTACACAATTCAGCACATCACTCAGTGTTAACTTTTTGGGTAGCAATGATATTTAATCTGATGGGCCAGTTTCCAATTTTCACGTGCATCCTAGTATCAGCATGGATATTCTAGTTGTACAGTTCCACTAACAAGATTCCAGATATAAAAATCCATAGCTATGTTTCAGCAGTGACACACCATTTTAAACACACAAAATTATGTACACTCACCAGAAAATTAGATAAAGCAAATATACTGCAACTAATTTCTGAACAAACTTTAAAAGGATTGCATTGTTCAGTACTTCCATTTGCACCTCTATGAAAAATACTAAAATAATTTAAATTGTTCACAGTAGCCTCTAAGTCTTTCAATAATTTAAGATCTTGCTATTTGAGCTTCCAGGTTAACATCTGATGTTCTGTAACTTTTTTCAAATATTGGGGGAGGCCTTTTCTGTATGGTGGCCTCACATTGTTTGAATATTTCCTCTGAAAAGCATGTATATAGCCTTTGTTGGCTTTGAGGAGAATGTTAAAGGTTAATTTTACTCCACATATTGCTAATTATGCTTATTACTAATTTGCTGATGCAAATTTATGTAATGTATATTTAGTTGTTTAGGTACCTATGACTTTTGTGAATATTGTATATCTAAAATAATATTTCTTTCTGAAGACTAGATCTGAACCAGGGGTCTTTTCCCTTTTATTTTAGATTTTTTTTAATCCTGTCTTTATTTTTTATAAATAATTCAAGGCTGTGAACATACCTAATACCCCTCCTCCTTTCCCCAGGACAACAACCCTGTGAGGAAAGTTGGGTTGAGACACAATGAGTGGCTCAAAGTCATCCAGCCGACAGGAGAGACTAGAACTCAGAGGTTTTGTGGTTTCTAATCTGGTGACTTAATCACTAGACCAAACTGACTTTTTTTTTGTTCCATAGACTCCTTTAAGAGTTTCATGAAGCCTACAAAATCTTTTGGGGGAAAATAAGGAGTATTTTTTTTTAATTAATCGCAATTATATGTCCACTTTCATACAAAACAACTCTGGATGGCATGTAACACTTAAACGCATGTTACATATTTAAATGCATACAAATATATAGCTATAGATGGTATTACAAAGAAAATCAATTATGTTCAATCCTATTATCAAATACTGTATGAAAAAATAACTATATAGTATAATAATATTCATATAATATATCGAAATTCATGGACCCCATGACATCTATCTTCAGGACCTCGAGAATTCCTGTTCTAGACAAGCATTTGATAAATCAGCAATTGCACCAGCCCAAATGTGTGGTGTGCAGCACAAGTAATCACAGCTTACCCAGCAGGCCTTGTGTCATCAATGGCACGATCAACTGGGATTAAGTCACTGAGGTAGACATTGAAATTCCCTTCATTCCATCTCCTTTTGGCTTCTTCCTCCTTCTCACCTGGGACTTCAGCAGGGCGTCCAAATTGACCGGGCGCTCTGGGGTCTCTTGGGGTCAGGGTCCTATCAATCGTTAACACTTTATGGAGCCGATTTTTTCCTGCGAAATTCACATTGCTCTGATTAGGTTTGGGGAATTGCTCTTCGCCTGCTAAATGGCCTTTGTCAACCTTCCCCAGTGCTCCTCCTCTGGCAAGGATCCCCTCCGTGGTCACGGCTTTAATTAGGCCACCTATTTGGGTTGCATTGGTGGCTTTCCGCTTATTACTGCTTTTCTCACCTGGCAGCTGTATAGACTTTCCCATCGATCTAAATCCTTTGGTGCTGGCTTGGAGATGCTGACTTGTTGGAAAAACCATAGGGACCAGCTCCTTGGTTATAAAGACCTGTTGGTTTTCCGAAAGAGCATCCTTTGCCGGAGGTAGTTTTGCATCCTTCCTATTTGGCAGGTTTCCTGGAGCTCTTTTATTCAGAGAGACTTCCTGCTTCTCTGCTGTTGAGGTATTCAGCTTGCCAGCAGGTAAACCCCACCTTCCTGTGACCTCGGGAGCCGCTACCATTCTTAGCAGCCCCCCGGTCCTGTTGGCTTTGGGAAGACCCTGCCATTCCCCAGGCTTGCTTCCAGTGGGGACGCCACGTTTTAACCCAGCCAAAGCCCCTTTATCTGTGAACTCCATGTGCAGCAACACCTCCGCTCCTCCCGCGGTCCTCTGAGCGGGCGCCTTCTGAGGGGCTCCCTTCGGAAGAGTTGGGCTGACAGGCGCTCGCCCTTCAGCAACTACTGAGTGGGGCTCCTGGTCCCACCGGGCCAGAGCTGGCGTGGTCTGCCGGGGGTGGCTGGTGGCGGCCGCCCCATTGACTTTCTTTCCCGCGGGATGGGAAGGTTCAGCCGGCGGCCGTCGCCGTTTCAGTGGGAGTATGTCACGCAGGCCGGGTATTTTCCCGGGCGCTGCTTTGGCCGGGGTCGCGCCGGGGGATAAGCGCTGCCTTCTCCCCTCCGCGTCCCGGCCAGCATCCTCGCTGTTCCTAGAGGGCTTCCCGTCTTGTTCCGGCGGAGAGACCTCGGTCTCCTCTCGGGACCACCTCCCCAGGCCATCCTCGGAGTTGCGCCAAACTCGCCGTCGCCCCCTTTCCTTCCCGCCCGTCTCCCCTTGCAGCGCTTTGGCGCCGCTCTCGCCGAAGGACAACTTGAGGGCTGCCATGTCAAAGATCAGCCAAACGACCGAGGCTGCGAAGATCAAAGCCAGGACTCGCCCGCTGCCTCGGCAAACCTTCCGGAGTTTATGCATTTCGGAGAAAAGTTTGCCCGGCCTCGGAAAAGCTGTTCTTCCGGCCGCCTCCGGGCCTCCTTACCTACAGAGGCGGCAAGAGGAGCGCCACGCGGAGCCCCCTCGCCCTGGAGCGCGCCCGCATAGCGAGCTAGCAGAAGTCGCCTGTTGCGCCTTGCCTGCGTGGCATATTTATAGCGCGGCATCCACGTCTCCTCGGTGTCGCGTGGCCGGCCTTGCAGCCGCATGTCCTGAGCCAGTCAGCCAGCCAGCCTGCAAGCAGGGGCCGAGCGGCCGGCGGGTGCAGTTTGCAGCGCCTGCTTAGGAGTCCCCTTCCTCCTCCTCCTCCTCCTCCTCTCGGCAGCCTGGGAGATTCTCCATTCTACTTGGTGAAAAAGAAGAAAAGAAACAGGCGGCTGCAGATCAGCTGGAGAAACTGATCCCAGCTACCCTCCTCCGCTCCACCCCAGCCCAAGCTGGATTTTCGTTCTCTGTAATTCGACACCGTCTCGGGAGAGAAAACAAAGCGCAAACTTCTCACTGCTTTGGCGTAGCCTCTACTTACTACTATCACCTTCCGAGATCCCAGATACTTTTGAAAATCGTGCCCAAACGCCAGAAACAAGCCTGGTGCGTGCCTGTGGTCTGTCTGTTTGTGTGTATGTGGCTCACGATTCCATCTTTGTAGTCGTGGGGAAATTCTCTTCAGAAAACTTTTGTACTATCTTGAATGATTCTGATGTATATTCATTAACCGCCCACCTTTTTCTGTTCTTTGGCAAGCCATGGTTTATTTGATCGTGGTTTATTGAATAAATTTGCCGAGAGGTTACACTAAGGCACACAAGCTAAGGTTCACCAATCATAGTTTGGTGGATTTAGTTGACATGCTAAGCCAGCAGCAAACCATGTTTCAGGTCAGCATGTTACTGCAGTGGCTGGCAGCAATGGATCAAAGAGGTCCTCTGAAAGTGCCTGAAAGCAATTTATCTTACTACTTTTTGATATTTGCAGTAGAAGCAACCAATGAGAACGTTTTCAAATTGTGCTCATTTCAGGGAGGACTCAATAAAAAAAAACTATCCTGGCATAAGAAAGACTCATGCAATAATAAAATAGGACAGAAATAAAAATAAAAAATTCCCCCATGATGAAAAGGCTCCATTTTCAGTTAGGTCAGGTCGCCATATTTCCCTGTCAAGCAACAGGAGGATAATGATGATGATGATGATGATGATAATAATTAATAATAATAATGTGGGTCTTCTATGGGTCTTTCTGTTGTGAAGGCATGTTCTTCCTTATGTCTTGAGCTCAAAAAAATTACAGTATATCAGCATGGGATTTGCAGTCTCTGTTGCTAGTCCCAGTCCTACCTCTGTTTTAAATCACTGTAACAAAGCTAACAACTGCTCTTGGAGAGACTCAGAAAAGGGGGGGGGGGTAGGGGAATGTCTTGGTCATGGATTGACAATGAGATTAACACAATATCACGGAGCCATGGCAGAAACAGATGAATGCAAATCATAAAAAGCCCTTACAAGGGAGCCAATAGGAAGCCAACATTACTTGGTAGATCTGAATGTAAAGAGAACCGAATACAGCCTTTACTTCTTATTTCCTCCTTTGACTTGGATGCTCTGAATGGCGCACAAACAAGAATGCAACATCTGTTCCAAATGCATGAAAGCAGATATTTGGTAGTTAGTAAGATATGGCTCAAGAAAGATCTCATTCTTGCATCACAGGTTTAGATAATCTGAAGCTGCAATCCTAAATCTGTTTTTTTTCTGGATGGGAAGTAATTTCCATTGAAATCCATGAGACTTATATCTGCGTATAGAAATATGTTGTTGGCCTTAAAAGTTAGTAATTTTTTGTGTAGAATAGAAGTTTTCAGATGCTATAAAAAGTGATAAAGGAAGGAAAGTAGAAAATGCATTTTAATAGTTATCTTGTAATTGGAAGAGCATTCTACCCAGCACATTAAATGTTCACATTGAGCTATCCAAGACAATTGTGACAGCTGCAATAAAGTGGATCGGGGTCTACAGGTTGCCTACTTTTGCTGTAAATGACAGCAGCCTTTATGGAATGAGCCCGCAGTAACTCTGTTCACACATATTGCTAAGCCCAACACATTTTGGCCTGGCAGTATGTATGAATATAGCCAGCACATGAAAACACATGAAAGATTGCTGTTGTTCCTTTGGTGTGGTACAATGAAAGAAATTTAAAATTGCCATGCTGTGGTTTCAAACATCTCTGTGATGCCCCGTTGAATACTAGCTTCTCACAGCATCAGCCAGCCACAAATTGCTAAGAATAGTTGAATAACATAAGAATTTTTTAGCAGTTTCTTCTCCCCCTTCACTCCATGAATGAATTATTGAAAATAAGTGAAAGAGTATGCTCCACTTTTAAACTTTTATTGCACATTATGAATCATGAAACATTTCACAGCTGGAAATAGCATGGTCAAATAGCCCTACCATAAACTTTACAATGTGGCTTTACTACTCAGCAAATACAAATGTGTGGTTTCTGTTTGGACAGACCTGTTCAACACAAGACAGCAGCTTTTACATGTGCATTGATTAATTTATTCCAGAAGGCTAACTTTAAAATAATACCGAGAATCAACCTCACGTGGACAAGAAAATTTAACATGTAATAAAAGTTTCCCCTTCTTTTCATTCTCTTTTTGAAAAAAAAATATACAAAACTCAAAAGTGGAGATCATGACATTTTTGATGCTTAATAAGAAATCAAGCCAGACCTCATATCTACAATAAATATTTAAGATAAGTGTTCCAGGATATTGGGGTTAGAACAGCTGCTTTGCATGCAATACTGTGCAAATTTGACAATGAAGATTATAGCAATAACACATACTTAACTGTAGTTTAAAGGAAATATTAATCCATTTTAAATCTGAAAGCAAATGGCTAACAAAGCTAGGGTTTGATTCCTCTGATTAATGAGCTAATAGTAGTGAGATATGTAAATCTACATTTGCTACTTTGCTTTCAGCTCTATTAGTTTGTAATCATATAGAATAGATTATCTCCAGCTCAGCCCTGAGTCAACATTCTACTGTAACTCCGGTGTTGGTAGAAGGACTGGTTCAATTTTGGTCCAATAGATGGGAAGGAATAGTTGGTAATTAAAGCACAACGAATACTATGAGTACTTCCACTTGATACATCTATTACTAAAGACCATCACCTTAGGCTCCAAACAAAACCTAAAACTTACTTCCTTCATATACAAAATTATGTATATCAGGCAGAAAATTGTGCTATGTGCTGAACTTTTTCAGGTACAAGAGACCAGTCAATCCATTTAGGATTGACAGTTATTACCACTTTACAGTGATATATTTTTATTGTTCTTAAATATTTGATTTTCTGTTGTTGGTTTTCTTACTATTTATTCCTAATGTGCTAGTTTCTTTGAAGAATCGTTTTAAAGTGATACATAAATGACCATTAGAACATATACATATGATATGTTATTTCCTGGAAAACAGGTATGTTGTAATAGGGATAATCATGAATAGTCTCCTGCAGTTCTTGATCAAGATTTCATACTATTTATGAATACTTTATTGTACATCTGGAGTTTAAAAGTTTCACCTTTTCATTCCTATTTTGAAACTATTTTTGGCATATCTGAAGGAACTGTGTTTGGCGTGGATTTTTTTTTCCTGAATGCTATTTTCTCATTGTTTCAATTACGCTTAATTTCAGATCTGATTCAATCTTCTACCTCAGTTTACTTTTACTAAACTGGAAGCAGAACAAGGGTAAACTGCACAGATTTGCCTCTGATTGCCTTGTAATCCCCATTTGCACCTCATTGTTCAAATCCCAAAATGTTGTGTCAGTGTTATTGCTGAACTGTTAAATTTATAAAACATTACATAAGGAATTATGGTAAGCCTATATCACTTCCAGACCAAACTCTCTGCCCCAAGGCAAAAAGAATCAGGTATGAGATTTTGTGCTTGTCCCTTTAAGAAGTATCAGCAAGTAGTTATCTAACTTCCTGCAGCCCTTGAAGGTGTGCCCTAGAATAATCATTAGGCAAGGAAGCTTTCATAATCTAAATAAAACCGATGTAGCTTTTTTCCCCCTAGGCCACTAATATGTTACAAATGCTGACTGAGATCTCTGCAGCTAGGTGATGTGATAGGTGATTTTTAAAACTGTCAAATTAGGGGCAAAACGTCTTCATGAATTCATGAAGTATGCTTTCCTTAATGAACACAAAAACAAAAATGTTAGTGGATTTTTTTCTTTGAAAACCTACCAGCTAATTCCACCCCCTTTTTTAAAAAAAAAAAAAGGAGATGGATTTTGAAGAATCATAAACTAAATTGGAGAGCATAGCCAGACAAAGAAAACTGTTTAAATAAAATGTATTTGTATAAAAGGTCACCTAGGAAATACAAGCTTTATTGTAAAGTTTTCAAGGAAGCTGTGTGTATCTGAACAATATAATATAGGACCAAGCAGTATTCCTGTGAACTAGAATAGGACATAGATTATTGCCAGAATAAAATTTAGTAACTTTTAATAAAACAAACATTCAAAATCTGCTTTATAAAAGCTGACTAGTTGAAACAATTTCAAACAGACCAAGAGATTAGGAATTAGTATGTTGGATTCATAGCACCTAGCTGATATTGTATTGGATAATCTTGAAAAGCATAGTTAAGAAAAAGTAAGTTAAACCTCGTTGGTACTTGGACAACTGTATATTTACTGGAATTAAAAACAAAAACCTTTGAGAAGCAGAGGGAAGTTTATTTCCATGGAGTTGTAAAACCAAGCCAAGCCAAAGGCATGTTGATGAAGTCAATCTAGAAATTATATCTGCTTGAAGTTTGCTGTCCCCTTTGTGATCTCTGTTCCACTTTTATTGCCTCTGTTCCCAGTCACTGTTGGTCACTGTCAGTAACAATAGCAGGACTCCCTTCCAAGACAATGGGTGACATAGCCTAACAGATTACATGC